CAGGAGTGCACCACTACGCCTAGTAAATTTTTTGTATTTTTAGTAGAGAAAGGTCGCCATGTTGGGCAGGCTGTTCTCAAACGCCTGATCTCGTGATCCACCTGCCTTGGCCTCCCAAAGTGCTGGAATTACAGGAATGTCCCTCCTGGTCCAATGAGCTGTATCCAGCAGGTTACAGTCCTATAGCACAAACATGGCTGCCGGAAGCCTGGGTGGCAAGAGGTGGCGTGCCAGGGAACAAGGAACAGCAGTTCTCAGAAGAAGTAGGCTGTTGTGTGTCAGGCATATCTTCAAAAATTGTCCACTACAACCTGTGTGGCAGGAGTTCAGATTCCCATTTGTTACTCATGAATCAGTTGAAGATTAAGGGTGTTAAACAACTTGTTTCAGGCTACATGTAAGTGTGAGAGGTAAGATTCAAACACAGCCTAACCAATTCCTCAGCCTCGCTTTATTATAACTTGCTGTCAGGGGAGGGTGGCCAGGGCAGTTTAAGGAATGCGTTATGTGGCAGATTGTTTTTTCCAAAAAGGACTCCCGCCCCACATGCTCTTCTTAAAATATAACTTTGATATTTCCACTATTGAGATAAAGGGTCTATGGTCCTCCCTTTGAATCTGGGATGCCTTGTGACCAGGCCAGAAGTGATGCTATAGGACTTCTGGGATTAGGCCATAGGATATTATATAGCTTCCATAGGTACTCTTGAAATACTCACTCTTGAAACCCAGCCACCAGGCTGGAAGGAAGCCCAAGCCTACCCCTGCAGAAAGACCATGCAGAGAAATCTTGAGACAACTGAGAGACAGAGATAGAGATAGAGATGATGATGATGAGAGAGAGAGAGAGAGAGAGGCCTGGCGAGCTCCATCTCTCCAGCCCCACACTCTCCCAGCTCCAGCCACCATCTGACCGAGATCTCATGAAAGAACCACAGTTAGAACTTCCCACAGAGCCCTTTTCACATTCTTGACCCACAGAAACAAGGAGAGATGATATGATTGTTGTATTTAAAATTTTTATTTTAATTAATTTATTTTTGAGACAGAGTTTCACTCTGTTTCCCAGGCTGGAGTGCAGCGATGCAGTGTCAGCTCACTGAAACCTCGACCTCCCAGGTTCAACTGATTCACCCGCCTCAGCCTCCTGAGTATCTGGGACTACAGGCACACACCGCTAGACTGTTGTTTTAAGCCACTACATTTTGGGGGATGGGATTTACTACAACAGTAGCCAGAACAGCATGGTCTGGGGGAATGGAAGTCTTCAGAAGGACATGAGAGCCAGCCTCAAGTACCCGAGGGGCTTCAGTAGAGCAGAAGTTAGATTTGGAGGCTGGGAGTGGTGGCCTGCCTTGCTGTGCCAACCACACTTAGATTAGAATCTGGTACTTGGTAAGGATTAAATAAGCATCCAATGGTATCACCATCACCATCATCATCACTACATTTGTTATTTGCTGATCCAGAACTCCCTTCATTGAGCATAAGTTACCCAATATTATTCAGTAGATGTGACCCTATCATATTTCTTAAGTGCCCAAGGCATGCCTCAACATGAAATGAAAAGCGGTCCTTAAAATAATCTCCACGAGAATAAGCCTCCCTCAACATATCAGTGTCCAATTAGATCTCCCCGGAGCCCCTTAGAAGTACAAATTACTGGCCGGTGCAGTGGCTCACACCTGTAATCCCAGCACTTTGGGAGGCCAAGGCAGGCAGATCACATGAAGGTGATCAAGATCAGCCTGACCAACAAGGTGAAACCCCATCTCAACTAAAAATTCAAAAATTAGTTGGGCATGGTGGCGCATGCCTGTAGTCCCTGCTACTTGGGAGGCTGAGGCAGGAGAATGGCTTGAACCTGGGAGGCAGAGGTTGCAGTGAGCTGAGATTGCACCATTGCACTCCAGCCTGGGCAACAAGAGGGAAACTCCATCTTAAAATAAATAATATATATATAAAAGAAGCACTATTTACCCAATTGGGGCCACAGATGGAACCTCTTGTCCTGATGCAATTGGCTCTTCAGGCTAATTTACTAGGAAGGGGGTGAACACCAAAAAGAAGGCACCAGAAGGCTATTGAGGAGATTTGGGGAATTCCAAACCTCACACTTTGTCAAATAAAAATTTGCCAACTAAAAAGTAGTTGTCAGGCGCGGTGGCTCACACCTGTAATCCTAGCACTTTGGGAGGCCGAGGCTGTCAGATCACCTGAGGTCAGGAGTTCACGACCAGCCTGCCCAACGTGGAGAAACCTCGTCTCTACTAAAAATACAAAATTAGCTGGGCGTGGTGGTGCATGCCTGTAATCCCAGCTATTTGGGAGGCTGAGGCAGGAGAATCACTTGAACCTGGGAGGTGGAGGTTGCAGTGAGCTGAGATCACGCCATTGCAGTCCAGCCTGGGCAACAAGAGTAAAACTCCATTAAAAAAAAAAAATTAAAGTGAACACAGAGGAAAGCAGAACAGAGAATATGGAGAAAGATTTATGAATGACACTATGAGATTCTGATTCCTTGGCCTGTTCACTTGTGTGAGCTAAATTCCTTTTCTTCTTTATTAAAAGAAGATTGATTGATTCGTTACTAATTGTAACTAAAAAACAGCCTATTTAATAGTACTGAAAATGACTATTCGTGAAATTTAGGGAATTGATATTGACTAGCAAACCATGTTAAGGAAAAAAAAAATTAAGTAGTTATTCATCTAAGAAGGAGTTACAGACTGTAGACCAGGAATTTTAACTGGTCGGACCTCTTCAGGAGAATCTGGAACTTTCCAATTCACCTATGTTTGTGATTTTTTTCTTTTCCCTGCTTATTTAACTAAAGTGATCAGAAAAAGAAGAAAAAAGAAAAAGCTAAGAGGATTTGAGGACTTTTCTACCATGACAACAGGGAAGTTTGGGATGCTGGACAGTGTCCCATTTTGGAGTCAGCGAGGAGAAGCTGAGTGTGGGCCCACTGCATATAGTTAAAGGCCCATCAAAGAGCTGGCCCAGCCTGGCTAGAGACCCTGGACTGGGGCTGAGCTATGGAAAGATGGGTAAGGCTTCCTTGACAGAGCACTCTGGCCCAGCCATCAGCCATCCCTACAACAGATCACCAGATGCCAACGAATACAGCCACGCATACTAGTCACTAAGACGGCCCTGGTCTGTGCTCCTTTGTCAGTAAGAGCTCGTTAGCATAGCTTTCCTCTAGAAACTGGAAACACCATGGGTTCTGAGGAACTGGCAGACAACTGATCGATAACAAACATCCCAATGACTCTGGAATCATCTCATTTCAGATGTAAGACTAAGTTCCAAAACTATTTCAGTCAGAAGTAGCAAATCAGGCTGCCAGGCTGATCTAAAAATTGCTAATGTCTTAAGTCTGCAGAGAATCAAAGGATAATCATAGAACAGGCAAACACTTTTAAATAAGAGGCTTCCTATAAATCTAGTTTAACAAGCGCATGAGTCAGCCTAGGCTAAGTTATGACATGGTGACCAACAACCCTTGAATTTCAGCAACTTACGAAAAGCTATATGCCCTACATGCATGGCTTGTCCATAACAGCCTGCTTGCTTCTGGTTCTGCTTCTATCATTTTCTTTCTGAGTCCCAGGCTGACAAAACAGCCTCTGCTGAGACAACACTGGTTTTGTAACAGAAGGAAAGGAGAAGGTGGCAGACCACACAATAGCTCCTCAAGTTTTGCTCAGAAATGGTACACATCCCTTCTCAGTTTTCACTGGACAAAGCAAATCACGTGGTCTTGCCAAGCATCAATGGGACAGAGACAAAGAATTCTCCCCCAGGGAGGGACTGCAAACCATCTATCACAAGAAAATTTATATTTCACAACAGTTAACAGTAGATAACTTTTATTAAACACTGACTACTTACCAAGAATTGTTCTATTACTTAATCTTCACAATAATCCTAAGAGGTACACACTATTATTGTCATCCTTTATTATAACTGACTGGTAAAAAGTAAAGAGACATTATAAGCAACTTGCCCAAGGTCACATACCTGGGAAGTGACGGCCTTGGGATCTAAATGCAGGTCTTCAAAAACCACGGCTCTCACTTCTGCACTGTGACTGCTTTAGATGTGCTTTCCGAAATAAAGCTGCCAACCCACGTAATCGTAACATGCATGTGAGTGGTTTTTCTAAGGGTGATAATGGATTTGCCTTGACTCATTTATATTTTTCTGGCACAAAAAAATATAAGCAATATAAACAATACTAGGTTAGTATTATGCTTTACAGTTCAATGCAATATGTATTCTCCACAAAAGAGTTACAAAATTTATGGGAGATAGAAAAGGTGATAATCCTTTTGACAGAAATAAGGGGTAGGCCAGGCACGGTGGCTCATGCCTATAACCTCAGCACTTTGGGTGGCTGAGGCAGGTGGATCATCACCTGAGGTCAGGAGTTCAAGATCAGCCTGACCAACTTGGCAAAACCCCGCCTCTACTAAAAATACAAAAATGAGCTGAGCAAGGTGGTGTGCACCTGAGTCCCAGATGCTTGGGAGACTGAGGCAGAAGAATCACTTGAACCTGGGAGGTGGAAGTTGCAGTGAGCCAAGACTGCTCCACCACATTCAAGCCTGGGTGACAGAGTGAGATTCTACCTCAAAAAAAGAAGTAAGGGGTAAAGGAAATTGGGCTCAGAGTGGCAAAGTAGGAAAAGCAGACTTTGACGTCAGACCCACTGTGGTTTGTTTTCCAGCCTCTGTAACTTTTTTTTTTTTTTTTGAGGAAGGGTCTCACTGTGTTGCCCAGGTTGGAATACAGTGGCACGATCTTGGCTCACTGCAACCTCTGCCTCCCAGGCTCAAGTGATCCTCCCACTTCAGCCTCCTGAGTACCTGAGACTACAGGTGCGTGCCACTATGCCCAGCTAATTTTTGTATTTTTTTGGAGAGATGGAGTTTTGTCATGTTGGCTGGTCTTGAACCCCTGAACTCAAGTCATCCACCCACCTTGCCCTTCCAAAGTGCTGAGATTACAGACGTGAGCCACAGCACCCAGCCCAGCCTCTGTAAGTTACTTTCTGTGTCTACCTTAGACATGCAAGCCTTGGATCTCTTGCATGTAAGGTGGGTGTCATAATACCCATTTCACATGGTTCTTGTGAGGATTGAATGAGATAATGTATGTAGAATGCCCAGTGTGGTGACTGGCACGTAGACAACAGACATTCAACAAATGGTAGTTGTTATTCTTACTGTTGTAGCTCTTGTTATTGAGGAAAGGATAGATTTTTTTTTTTTTTTTTTGAGTCAGAGTCTTGCTCTGTCTCCCAGGCTGGAGTGCAGTGGCACCATCTCGGCTCACTGCAACCTCCGTCTCCCAGGTTCAAGTGATTCTCCTGCCACCACGCCCAGCTAGTTTTTGAATTTTTAGTACAGACAGGGTTTCACCATCTTGGCCAGGCTTGTCTTTAACTCCTGACTTCATGATCTGCCTGCCTGGGCCTCCCAAAGTGCTGGAATTATAGGCCTGAGCCACCATGCCCAGTCGTCCAGCTGAAAGGATAGAATTTCAATATGAATAGCTGTGGAAGGGCAGAGACCAGCTGGGACTACGCATGTGGGCAGGTAAACAATGAAAGGCTGTGCTTTAGGAATCTAATCAAGTATTGGATACAAGAGGGTTGACCCCAGAGAAATTAGACATTGAAAATGATTTGGGAATGGACCATCCAAGCTAGAAGTGAAAAGGGTGGGAAGCAGGAGAACAGCAGGGACAATGGTGAGGAAGAGAAGGTTCAGGACACATCTCTGGATGGAGATAGTGGTCTGTGCTCTAGGTTGTCAGAGCCCTCTTCCCTTGTCCTCTTCTGAGCAAGACAAGCAGCTGATCAGCATAGAGTCCATGGTCTCTAGCAATGCACAGACCCATAAGGCAGCCTCGTAAGCACAGTAACCTCTCCAGGGTCCCACACCTGGCTGACCATCCTTTGGGACCAGCTAAAGCACAGATTCCAGAGTCTTCCCTCAGGCAGAGGTTTAGGATGTCTGGGCTGGCCGGATTTAGAAGTAGCTCATGCCTGGACTGGCATTTAGAAATAGCTCAACTAGGCTCCAGCCCACAATGTGACAGAAGAGGGATTGTCCCTGGCTGTTGTATAACCTTGGAATCATTAACTAGCCAAAACTAAAACAAAGTGAGAAGAAAGAAGAAGGCCAAAATGAAACACAGGCCTTTCCTGAGGGATTTATCCATATATGAAAACTTCGGATTGGAAATGGTAAGATCTCAGTTAGCTGCTCCTAAGGAGTGCAGGGGACCAAGTGAACTTCAGCTTTTATCTGCAGACATCACGGGTAGAAAGTGGATAAGCTCCTCTACCCAACTGCCAGTGAATCCACTGGTTTATCAAATGTGTACTGAGTGGTAGCATCTGAGGTACTGTAAGAGTTGCTGGGAATTCAGGAATGGCACTTTCTTTGTCTTCAAGGGGTTCCCCGGCAAGGGAGGACAGCCAGTTGCAATCTGGAGTGGGACATACTCAGTCAGTTGTGTGAACCAGTTTGGTGGGAAGTGACAACTCCCATCTTGAGGGAGATTTCGAATGGGAAAGGTCATTCGAACTGGATCCTAAAGGTTGAGGGCAGTTTGCCAAGCAGAGAAAAAGAATGCCCTAATCAGGTATCACTGGGTTGCAAGACACCGACAAACCTCAAACTAGCTGAAGCAAAAAGAGAAGTACATTGGAAGAACCCATCCTTGAGAAGTTACCACAGCTCATGAAGGGCTGTAGCCAGAAAGTTGGGGATTTAAATTACTGCCTTCTTCCTTTTCAGCTCTGTGGTCCTTCCTCCAATTCTCCCTGTGTTTAATTTCTTCTTCTTCTCTCACTACATACGAGTTTTGTTGTCTTTCTCTGTACCTATAATGCAAAATGACCACCGCAGACCCCTTTGCATATATCCTTCTTGTTCCATGTCCCAGTGATAGCCAACCAAGCAGAGGTTAGCTATCACTGTCTTGTCTTCCAAGTGAATACAGGTTCCGTTAAAGTCAAAACTTCTTGGGGGTGGAGAAGGAATTCCTGATAAAGAGAAGAGAAACAGAGGAATCAGAAGAGTTGACAGACTGGCTGGGTGACATGGCTAACACCTGCAATCCCAGCACTTTGGGAGGTGGAGGTGGGCAGATCACCTGAGATTAGGTGTTCGAGACCAGCCTGGCCAACATGGTAAAACCCTGTCTCTACTAAAAATACGAAAAATTAGCCAGGTGTGGTGGTGAGCAGCTGTAATACCAGCTACTCAAGAGGCTGAGGCAGGAGAATCGCTTGAACCAGGGAGGCAGTGATTGCAGTGAGCCAAGATCAAGCTGTTGCGTTTCAACCTGGGCAACAGAGTAAGGCTCTGCCTAAAAAAAAAAAAAAAAAAAAAATTAAAAATTGTTGACAGACTAAAGAAAAGGCTGGGTCAACTGAGCACATGGGATGAGCATACAGGGGAGAGACAGTGGTCAGCATACAGAGGAGGGAGAGAGTCACAGGTTGTGGCAAACTGAGGAAAGGAGAGAATTTGGTATTTTCAGGTGTTGTGTGTGGTGGGAGTTGTTAGTTAACTTCCTCAGGCCATCACACTTTCTCTGTGGCTGTGGTTCGTTCAGAAAGGATATTTTCTTTCATTGGGCAGAAAAATAGATACGGACTGCATCTCCACACAACCTCCGAGCATGAGATCCTTCAGCCTCCTGCTCCTGTGATCCTACCTGCTGTTTCCCTCCCAGATGGGAAGCATGTCTAATCAACGAGGGGAAGTGGCCAAAGGAGGAAGCGGGAGTGTGTGGGTCCAGTGTGGAGGAGACAAAGGCTGGGCTGCTGTTGCACACCTTCAGCACACTTTCTAAGTGTTGGCGGCTGCGGGGCTGTAGTCTGGGTCTGGAAAGTTGGGAATTCAAGTGACTGCCTTCCTTTCCTGCCTTCTTTTCTCTTCAGCTAGTTTGAGTTTTTCTGTTTCTTACAACCCAGTGATTCCTGATTAAGGTGTTCTCTTTCCCTGCTTGGCAAACAACTCCGTGAATCTTTTGGATCCAGCCTGAATGTCCTCTCCAACATGATGTCTCTCTCAGGATAGGAATTGACACTTCCCACCAAACTGGTTCACACAGCTGTGAGAGTGTGTGGAGTGAGCACCATCAATGACACAGAAAGGATGATGTAGAAAGCATGGGGGCAGGGAACGGGGATTCTCTTGAACTATCTTGTCACCTATGAGTCACAAACAAAATGTTCTGCCCCCAGATGCAGAAGGTTGCAGCACCTTAATGAAACGGAAGGAAAGGACAAATGGCCCCAGGGAAAGTCTTGGGCTAGAAAAGCCTGTCTTTGATGCTGTTTTCTGGCCACTTTGGACACCCTGCTGCCCTGTCTCTTCCTTCTTCAGGGACTCTTGTCTGCTTCTAGACTTGTGAGTAACATATGCCATGACACCCTCACACAGTTCAAGTTATCAAATAGTGTAGAAAAATTTGTAAAATTATCAGCTATTGTTCATCCTTTTCTCCCTCCTGTCCTTGCCCTCTGGAGCAAGCACTTTTAGAAAAAGTTTCCTTAACTTTATTTATTTTAGAAATGAACTCTTGCTATGTTGCCCAGGACGGTCTCTAAGTCCTAGCTTCAAGCAGTCCTCCCTAAGTGGTGAGATTACAGGCATGAGCCACCATGCCTCGTCTGGAGCAACCACTTTTAACTTTACATACCTGCTCTCTGTGTGACCCTGGGTAAATTACACATATTCTCTATACCTTAAGACTCCTCATCCACAAAATGTCACTAATAATACAACTCCTTTACAGTTTAATTACTATTATCTCATTTATGGAATGAGATAATCTCCTAATTCTCCAGAGAAACAAAATAGGATATAGAGAGATTTATTATAAGGAATTGGTTCACACACATATGGAGGCTGGAAAATGCCATGGTCTGCCATCTGCAAGCTAGAGACTCTGGAAAACTGGTGGTTTAATTATAGTCCAAGTCTGAAGGTCTGAGAACCAGTAGCATTGCCTTCTCCAGTCCGAAGGCAGGAGAAGACTGTTGTCGCAGCTTAAGCAGGCAGGATGAATGGATTCAGCCTTCCTCTGCCTTTTTTTTTTTTTTTTTTTTTTTTTACAAAGTGTTTTTCTTTTGTCCCTGGCCTGGGG